ACTGTAGATCTACGTGTGTAGAACTGTTGGTCTACATGTGTAGAACTGTTGGTCTACGTGTGTAGGTCTACATGTGTAGAGCTGTTGGTCTACATGTGTAGAACTGTTGGTCTACGTGTGTAGGTCTACATGTGTAGAGCTGTTGGTCTACATGTGTAGAGCTGTTGGTCTACATGTGTAGAACTGTTGGTCTACGTGTGTAGGTCTACATGTGTAGAGCTGTTGGTCTACATGTGTAGAACAGTTGGTCTACATGTGTAGAACTGTTGGTCTACGTGTGTAGGTCTACATGTGTAGAACTGTTGGTCTACATGTGTAGAACTGTTGGTCTACGTAGAACTGTAGATCTACGTGTGTAGAACTGTTGGTCTACATGTGTAGAACTGTTGGTCTACGTGTGTAGGTCTACATGTGTAGAGCTGTTGGTCTACATGTGTAGAGCTGTTGGTCTACGTGTGTAGGTCTACATGTGTAGAGCTGTTGGTCTACATGTGTAGAGCTGTTGGTCTACATGTGTAGAACTGTTGGTCTACGTGTGTAGAACTGTTGGTCTACGTGTGTAGAACTGTTGGTCTACGTGTGTAGAACTGTTGGTCTACGTGTGTAGAACTGTTGGTCTACGTGTGTAGAACTGTTGGTCTACGTGTGTAGAACTGTAGATCTACATGTGTAGAACTGTTGGTCTACGTGTGTAGAACTGTAGATCTACATGTGTAGAACTGTTGGTCTACATGTGTAGAACTGTTGGTCTACGTGTGTAGAACTGTAGATCTACATGTGTAGAACTGTTGGTCTACGTGTGTAGAACTGTAGATCTACATGTGTAGAACCGTTGGTCTACATGTGTAGAACTGTTGGTCTACGTGTGTAGGTCTACATGTGTAGAACTGTTGGTCTACATGTGTAGAACTGTTGGTCTACATGTCTAGGTCTACATGTGTAGAACTGTTGGTCTACATGTGTAGGTCTACGTGTGTAGAACTGTAGATCTACATGTGTAGAACTGTTGGTCTACATGTGTAGAACTGTTGGTCTACATGTGTAGAACTGTTGGTCTACATGTGTAGACCTGTAGGTCTGTACTTGTGGAACTAATTGAGTTTAGTTTTCCTCTCAGCAGGATGGAGGTTTCCTGGTGACCCACAGGCAGCAGTAACAGGAGGTACGGGAGCCTGCATGTGCCAGAAAGAAGACGTAAGTCCTGAACGATGCAGGTGCAGACTGGTCTTTGCACTCTGGGTGACACACACTGGGACAGTCATGGTCTTTGTGTGTTTCTGGTTGAAGACACAAGGTTTTTCAGAACTTATTGGTTGTTTCTAAACCAGCTCTGATAAGAACAGGTTGTGTTAAAATTAGGAGTAATTAGTAAGTAATAAACAGAATCTGTCTTTCTGCAGAACATGTCTGATGTGGACAGACTGGTTTCAGCAGATGTRAAACAGAACAGAAATATTCCTTCCACTGAACGTAGATCCATATCTGCTGGTGTTCAGCCTCTGAGTGGCGTTTGGTGTGTTTGCACGTCGGCAGCGGTCCACCTACAGATGGTCGGGCTTTCGCTCGTCTGTCACACTCTGATTGGCTGCTTTGCTGCTGGAAGCTTCAGATCTGACAGACTTTTCACGTGACAACACAAACACACAACATGAGGWGCAGCAGAGCTGCGTCACAGGATCTGGACTCACTCAGCCTCTTCATACAACACACAACTCTTAAAAACAGGAGGAGGTTAAGGAACGACTCTCATGGTGGTGGAGGAATGTGACCCATTCTTCTCTCCAACATGTTTGTTCTGAGCTCTTAGGAAACGATTTTAAAGTTTTGAGTTTAAAATGTTAGATCCCTGAGGAGGAGCTAATTAGTTTTATAAATGTTTTAAAGGTACATTTGACAGAAACTAAARTAAAAAGAATAAATATGAGATAATGGAGGTGATGTTGGAAGAAAATCACAATAAATCATAAATTCAACTGATTAAAGTGATCAGACTGGACGTTGTTTGGGCTATAGGACTCAAGTTCAGTTCTGGAAATAAAAAGTTCATTATATTGAATATATTTACACCTTACAAAAACCCAGAGAGTGAAGATGAATATCTTAATAAGCTGGCATATGTTGTGTCATTTATCCAGGACAATCCATCCACTTGCCTTTTCATTGTGGGTGATCTGAACGCTGATGTGACAGACTGTAAATCCTTGTTTGCCAATCACCTAAACCAGTTCTGTTCCACCAATGAGTTGATTCTCTCTGGTAAATGTTTTTGCCTGTGGACAGCTACACTTACATCAGTGAAGCGTGGCACACAACATCATGGTTGGACCACTGTATCTGCACTGAAGATGCACATGACTCTTTAGAGACTATCAGGATTAATTATGAATTTGCAACATCTGATCATATTCCCTTTTCTTTGTCTATAAAAATGGGCAATTTACCAGACCTTTTGCCCATGAGTAATGATACACAAGAAGAAAATATACATTGGGACAAATTGACTGAGCAGGATCTCAATTTGTTCCGCATCTACTCTGAAATCCTGTTGAATGATATTGTTTTACCAAAAAGTGCAGTTACATG